ATTACCAGCTTGTCAGGCCTGAGAGAGGTAAAGATGTTGTACATCCCTGCCTGGCTCCTTTCCCAGCCTGGTTTCCCTTCCCCAGCTGAACTTTCTTCCCCCTCCTCCACCCCAACCCTTCCTTCCCCCCTGCTCAGGGGTGGAGGGAGGGGATGAAAAACATCCCCACGGGCAAGACCTGCTCCTGTTCCTGCTCCTGGAGGCACCTGGAGCTGCGCTGGGGGGAGGAGGAGGGAGGGAAGAGGCATCATTCCCGGCCGGCGACGCAGGATCCCGGAGGGAACTCGGAGCCAGCGTCTATTTGGCCACATCAAGCAAAGCAGCTGTGTTGGGTTCCATATGTCGGGGGTGCCAGGATCCATGACATACGGGCTCATTTAGCACACAATAAGAGCGCCCCCCCCGGAGCTGGAGGTTGGAGCTGAGGAGGGAATTGTGGAGTGTGAGGGTGGGGAGAGCCTGGGCCAGGGTGCCCAGGGAAGCTGTGGCTGCCCCATCCCTGGGGGTGTTGAAGGGCAGGTTGGATGGGGCTTGGAGCAGCCTGGGCTGCTGGGAGGTGTCCCTGCCCATGGGGGGGGTGTTGGATCTAGATGATCTTTCAGGTCCCTCCAACCCAAACCATTCCACAATTCCATGATTTGAGGGGTTGTTGGTGAACAAGCTGCTCCCTGGGGCAGGGCAGGATGGGTCCCTCCACCACCCAGCAGCAAAGAAAGAAGGTCCCAGGTCTGCAGGGAGGGGACAAGAGCAGAAGGAGCAAAGAAATGAAAAGTAGAAGGGAAGAGAGAAGGTTGAACAATGCAGGACTCAGTGAACAAGCAACTCAGTCTTGAGGAAAAGAGAAATTAGAGAAGACTTAGTATCAGTTATTCTAGTTCAAATAATCAAGGTTTTATTTGGAAATGCTTTAAAATAAGAACATAAAAGCCCAGGGGTGGCTAATCCAGAAGTTGGAGCACACATTCCTGCCTCAGTTGGTCCCTGGATGTCCCTCTGGCTGGTGGCAGGGAGAGCAAATGAAACCCAAACCCCAACTCTGAGGTCAGGGAATGTTCCCTGTGAGCTCAGAGCCGTGAGAGAACATCTCCATGGATCCCAAAAGCCACGTTTCCATCAGCCCTTCCATCCTCTCCAGCCTTAGGGCTTCCCAAGAGCAACCTCTGGTTTAGGATCTGGGTGATTGACTCATTCCCTCCCCCAGAGCTGAAAGGTTTTGTGTTGGAGAAAGCAAAAAGTCCGGGTTCATCTCCTTTTTTTGGGGGTGAAATCTGAATTTCAGAGTGCAAGGACAAGTGTGGGCAGAGATGCCCAACTTGGGGCAGATTTATGAGCTCAGGTTGAGCATCAATGGGTGTGGGATTCCCACAGGGGAGGTTGGAAGAGGGAATATTTGCCCCTATATCCTGGGAACCACTTCTGTGTGTGCACATGTGTGTGTGTGCACACGTGTGTATGTGCAAATACAGGTGTGAGTGTGCAAAGAAACCCCCCCCCCCTACGTGTTTTGGGGGTGCTCAGAGGGGCCGTGCAGACCTTCCTGTGCAGGTTTAAGGGGTTTCCTTGTGTTTCCTTCTAAACCCCCCCTGGAAGGCTCTGCTCCCCCCAGCGGGATTTGGGCTGTTTCTCCCCAACCCTCCCCTGTCCACAGCGGTTTCCTTCCCATTCCTCACTCTTGTGGCTCATTACCAGCTTGTCAGGCCTGAGAGAGGTAAAGATGTTGTACATCCCTGCCTGGCTCCTTTCCCAGCCTGGTTTCCCTTCCCCAGCTGAACTTTCTTCCCCCTCCTCCACCCCAACCCTTCCTTCCCCCCTGCTCAGGGGTGGAGGGAGGGGATGAAAAACATCCCCACGGGCAAGACCTGCTCCTGTTCCTGCTCCTGGAGGCACCTGGAGCTGCGCTGGGGGGAGGAGGAGGGAGGGAAGAGGCATCATTCCCGGCCGGCGACGCAGGATCCCGGAGGGAACTCGGAGCCAGCGTCTATTTGGCCACATCAAGCAAAGCAGCTGTGTTGGGTTCCATATGTCGGGGGTGCCAGGATCCATGACATACGGGCTCATTTAGCACACAATAAGAGCCCCCCCCC